AGGACTCAGGATTCAGGGCAGCTGCTCTGTCTGGGAAGAAAGATGGAAAGTCTGACTGCATTTATGCACCATCAGGTCACCTGGCAATTTTAGACAGAGTGGTAGTATTCACAGTTATCCTGCATAAGTAGATGTTTGTTGGGGCAGAACTGAAACTGATGGTGTAAAGACCTTAGTCTGAGGCCTTTGGTGGGACTTAATTCATTCACTTATTCACTGAAAAGATAGTATTGAGTACTCACTGAGTGAGGCTCAGACTGTGTAGATTCCAGTCTTGTGGGAGGGAAGTCACAGAGAAAGTGATACTTAAATCAGACAGGCAGATAGGTCATCCTGGCAAAGGGAAATGGGAGCCAGAAGGGGAGGGGACTGGAAAGACATTCCAGAAGTGGGAACAACGGCATGTGGGAAGACCCTCGGGCAAGAGAGAGCATGGGAATTTGAGAACTGAAGGAAGTCTGGTGTGGTTGGAGCACAGGGAGCAGAGGAAAGAGATGTGGTGAGGAGAGAGCTGGAGAGCGCAGGCTGTGAGGAGTCCCGTCAAGCCTGAGAGTCTAGATTCACACTGACGTCAGTGCAGCATCAGCGGGAAAGAGCTCCAAGAGGCCAGTGAGGACATTCTTGCAAAGGTGCAGACGAGGGAGGATGGTGGTTTGAGTAGACTTGGGCTGGAGGATTTGCAAAGAATTGGATGGATCTGATGCATACCTGGGTGGAGGGAAGGCCAGCAGTTGGTGATGAATGAGCTGTGACAAGAGAGGGAGATGGAGTGAAAAGAGTCCATCCAGCTCCCCTTCCAGGCAACCGGGTGGATGCCATTTATCAAGACTCTGCAATTCTCACTTTTCTCATTTGTAAAGTGGGAACAATATGTTTACCTTTCCTATCTCTCAAACCTGTTTTGATGACCAAGTGATGTACATACAACTAAATACAAAAGGATTTTGGAGACTGTAAAATTTGATCAATATCTAGGCTACAAGGTGATTATTCATAATTATTTTATTATGACATGTTCATCCGTATGGCTTTTGTTTTAAATCAAATCCCTGTGTGTGGTAAAACACCAACCCTAGCTTTGTGATAATATCACTTTAGTGCCTTACAGCTTCCTGATTTCATGGTTGCAGAAAGAATTTACAGAACATATAAAATGACAGGGGAAAAGGTGTGGCTACTTGTTCTCTAGCATGAACTTGGCTTTTAAATCTTGAAATCGACTCTGATTGCCATGAGAAAACCTGAACCAGCCCAGCTTGGTCACTGACATGATTGGGGAATTGGGAGTCGTCTATGGAAATTGTTTCTCCTGGATCGCTTTACTGAGTTGCCAAAGAATGGCTGGGTCTCACCAGTCTCAGCCTGGTAATTATCCAAATGGCTCTGGGTCATCAAACTGCAGAAAAGAGCCTACTGGCTTGCTGCTGCTCCAGGGCTCCAAAGCTATGATCTTTTTTTTTTTTTTAATCCCTCTACAGAGAATAATAGAATGGTGGTTGAATAAGCTCAGCCCATGTTACAAGGAAAATATTTGGGGACCAGTAGAGTTGAACTCAGCCCCAGTTTTATCATTCATCAGCTTTGTCACTTTATGGAGTTCACCTTGAGAAGTACCAGCTTCCTTGAGCATTGTTTGGGGACATAGGTAATTGATCCATTTCAGGCAGAAGAGATAATAAATATACTTTGTAAATTGCAAAATGTTAAGAAAATTAGATAGACGGATGAGTGGGCTGAGTTACATCAATATTGTTCCATTGAGGAGAAAGGCTATATTAAACAGATACAGATATAGTTATAAATATAGCCTTTAAATACATCAGTCTACACCTATCTATGCATCTGTCTATCTATCTAGATGTATATTCCTCACCTGGAAAAAAATTATATTAAACTGGAAAATGAGTGACCCTCATTTATCCATCAGCATATAGAACTGTATTTCTCATCTGAGGATACAAATTATACTACCCGACTGTATCTTAGAATGCCCCAGAACTGAAGGTTACCTCGAAGATTCTCTACCCACACATAATTTTCAGGAGGGGTCACTGAGGGAGACTGCTTTCTGTGTAAATCCTGGCTTCTTCCTCATGATACGTGCAGGCAGCAGTGGTTTGGGGCTGAAGCCCAGACCTCTGACTTATCATTCAGTCCTCTTTTCACTCAGCCACATGCCCTTTCAGGAGTCTTTCTATTTCCTGACAAACATGCCGGCCCTCCTTGGGCAGCCAGTGAGGGTCAGTGTCCTGGTCGGCTGATGGCAGCGGTGTCGGTAGGGCTGACGGGGGCAGCACTTCGCGTTCCTTGCATGTGCTGATCAAGCCAGGCAATGTTACAGATTCAGTTCACATAACTGGAATTGTTTCTTTTCTTTGAAAAATATGATTTCAGTGTTTAAGGCAACCACTTTATACTATTCATAGTTACTCGGTTTTATTTTGTTTCATTTTTAAAATAAAGCAAAAACTAGCTCTATTACTTTTCAACAGAACCAAGCTAGTGAGTATTAAAACAAGGACCATGGAATTACTCCATTTAACAGACAAAAGCCTCTCCTGGGAAACTAGCTAATCTCTACACCCTGGATACCCTGATTCTGCTTTTCCTTTGGCAGATGAAGAGTGATGTCAGGGGACAGGGAAGAGCATAGTGGCATTCTCTGTTTGTCAAAACATCTTGAACAATTTTTCAAACATTTTGAGTTTGTTAGAATCCAGACTGCATAGTGCCAAGCAGTTTTGCTTAATTTCTAAACCCCTGGGTATTTAAAGGGAAACTTAATCGGTATTTTTCTGAATCGTTTCGTTTAACTCATCAGTGTGCTGTTTCATAAGAGCCATTTGATGCCAAAGAAGTCCTTCTCTGCCAATTGAGAAGTTTTATTCTGGAAGACTCCAAAGAACTGAGAGCAGAAAAAAAGAGCAGGGGCCCAGGGTTTCTAGAATCTCACAAACCAAGATCTAGAAAGGGCTACGGAGAGGTCTCGCTCAAGATCGTTCAGGCAACCAGCAGGAGAGGCAGAATGCTAAGCCCAAAGCACAGAAGTCTGCCCGGCACTGGGCTCTTTGTGTTTCGAACAACTTAAAAGTCCGTGCTGCGTAAGCATGAACTTCTACTTAGCAGGCTAGTTTGTCTGTGTGAATGTAGCATTTTCATGATTATAATTCAAAGCAAGGACTATTTCCAAAATGTCCTGCAGTAATTGGCATGCCGGAGCACCTTTGCTGTGAGAAAGCTTTCCCTTCCTCCAGGTCAGGGCCAAGGCCCTCTGAGGTCAGCACGCCCCAGAGATAAAAGTTGGCTGAGGTTCCTCCTCATTCACCGCTTACTTTTCTCCCTCCAACTCAGTGCAAGCAGTCAGGGTTAGTTTCTTTTTCTGTGAATTCAACAGTGCAACACAAACACACATACACACAGAAAGATTTAAGTGCCATCTGTACAAGGATGTTTAGAACTGGATTTGAGGAATAAGCTAGTACCCAACAATAGGGG